ATGGAGATCTGATTGGTCTGGGAGAAGCTCCCCATCTGAAGAAGGAGCTAACACAGGGCATGAAGTGCCTGGAATCCTAAGGAAAAAGAATAGAATGAATGTCTATGGAAGCCCACTGAATAATTCTAGATCTGGAAGCAACCTGTAGCTCATAGCAATTGAACTTCACTTTCAGAGATAGACAAGATATGGTTAGCAGAGGAAGACTTCAGCAGGAACTCTGGAAACAGGTCAGTTATATACAACATATATTAACAAATACTATGCAGGCATGAAAATTACAGATTAAAAAATATTAAAGGGATAAATATCCATGTTAAGTTAAAAGTAACTGGGACGATAAGGTGACCCCATTTTGGAATAACTATATTTAAATGTAGATGAAAACATATAAATATGCTGAGGGATAGTTTTCTTATTTTCTAAAATGTTTTATGTTTAATCAGAAGGCTTCCATCAGTATGCTCTGGTTTCATGTACTATTATCTTCAACCTGACATAAGGCATTGTAGTGTAGATGAGTTATCACCACACTTCCCTGCCCCATCCCTGAGGGTCAATGGGCTTGGGATGAGGCCTGTGTTTTCCTAGTGTGAAATGACAGAACAATGACTTCTACTAGAATGCACCCCAAAAACATTGAGTCTTACAGGATTTATTCTGGTCTAACGGCCAGCCTAGGAAGTAGTCTCAGTTTGGTGTGGGCTTTTATTGCTGACAGAACCATGAACCCCATAACACACATGCCATGTCTCACCTGGCCAACAGAGGGCAGTGGCATGGCTGCTCATGCCTACAATATTGAACCCCTTTTATTTATTATTTATTTATTTTTTAATCCTCACCTGAAGATATTTTTCTATTTCAGAGAGAGTAGGAAGGAGAACCTTGGCAGGTTTGGCTCAGCGGTTAGAGTGTCGGCCTGCGGTACAGAGAGTGGGAAGGAGAAAGAGAGAGAGAAACATCGATGCAAGAGAAACACATTGACTGGCTGCCTCCCGCACAACCCTGACCAAGACCAGGGACAAACCGCAACTGAGGTACATGCCCTTGACCAGAATCAAACTCGCGACCCACTGGTCCACAAGCTGACACTCTAACCACTGAGCAAAACCGGCCAGGGCTATTATTTATTTTTTATATCCTTACCTGAGAATATTTTTCCATTTATCTTCAGATAGAGTGGGAAGAAGAGAGAGAGGGAGAAATATCGATGTGAGAGACATCAATATGAGAGACACATTGTGCCCTTGACTGGGAATCAAACCCACGACCCTTTGGTCTACAGGCCGACGCTCTAACTGCTGAGCCAAACTGGCCAGGGTTTGACCCTCTTTTTTTTCTTTTTAATATTTTTTAATTGATTTTTATAGAAAGAGTGAGGAAGGGAGAGATAGAAACATCGATGAGAGAGAAAGTCGATTGGCCGCCTCCTGCATGCCCCCCACTGGGGATCAGGCCCACAACTTGGGCATGTGCCCTGACCAAGTATCAAACCAGTGACCTTTTGTTGCATGGGTTGACACTCAACCAGTGAGCCACACCAGCCGAGCTTGACCCTCTTTTAAATTTAACAGGTTCGCCTTCTTCAAAACAAGACCCATATATATGCTGTCTACAAGAGACCCACTTCAGATAGACAGGCACACACAGACTCAAGGTTAAGAGATGGGAAAAGAGCTGGGCCAGTGTGGTTCAGTTAGGTGAGCATTGTCCCATGCACTAAGAAGTCACCGGATTGATGCCTAGGTCTCTCTCTCTCCCTCTCCCTTTCTCTCTCTCTAAAATAAGTAAATAAATAAATAAAATAAAAACATTTTTTTTTTAAAGATGGAAAAAGATATGTAATCCAAATAGAAACCAAAAAAAAAGTTTGGGTTGCAATATTTGTCAAAATAACCTTTAAAACAGTCTATGTTGTCCAGCTGGTGTTGCTCAGTGGTTGTGTCAACCCACGCACCAAGAGGTCACCGGTTCGATTGCCGGTCAGGACACATGCCCAGGTTGTGGGTCAATCCCCAGTGGGGGCCATGCAGGAGGAGGCTAAACGATGTTCTCTCTCATCAATGTTTCTCTCTCTCTCTCCCTCTCACTTCCTCTCTCTCTAAAATCAATAAAGGAAAACAACAAAGGCTATGTTAAGAGACAAAGAAGGATGTTACATAATAATAAAGTGATCAATCCTGTACTGGCAGGTTTGGCTCAGCAGTTGGTGCGTTGGCCCTTGGAACAAAGGGTCACAGGTTTGATTCCTGGTCAAGGGCACATAACTGGGTTGCAGGTTTGATCCCCGACCCTGGTTGGAATTGTGGAAGGCAACCAATAGATGTTTCTCTCTCACAATGATGTTTCTTTCTCTTCCTCCCTCCTATTTACTCTAAAAATCAATGGGAAAATATTCTCAGGATATAATTCCTGTGAACATTTATGTACCCACCACAGGAGCACCTAAATATATAAAGCATATCAATGGATAGATCTTCCAAACAGAAAATTAAAAAGGAAACAGCAGCCTTAAATGGCACATTAGACCAGATGGATTTAATTGATATTTTCAGAGCATTTCACCCCAAAGCAGCAGAATATATATTCTTTTCAAGTGCACATAAAACATTTTCCAGGACAAACCATATGGCTAGGCCACAAAACAAGTCTCAATAAATTTAAGAAGATTGAAAGCATATCAAGAATCTTTTCTTTTTTTCTTCTTTTATTAATTTATTTTTGTTACAGATGTTTCTCCTTTCTTCCCCATTGACAGCCTCCTCCCCATCCCCCCACCCGTCCCCAGTTTTGTTGTCCATGTCCATCGGTTATGTAGACATGCATATAAGTTCTGTGGTTTATCTCTTTCCTCCCTCCCACCCCTTCTTCTGAGGGTTGTCAGTCTGTGCCCTACTTCCACGTCTCTGAGTCTACCCTGTTCCTCAGACTATTATGTTTATTATATTCCACAAATAAGTGAGATCATGTGATAGTTGTCTTTCTCTGCTTGCCTTGTTTCCCTTAGGATAATACTCTCCAGGTCCCTCCATGTCGTCTCAAAAGATAAGAGATCTTTCTTTCTTACAGCTGCATAGTACTCCATTGTGTATATGTACCACTGCTTTTTTACCCATTCGTCTACTGATGGACACTGGAGCTGTTTCCAGATCTTAGCTATTGCAAATAGTGCTGTATGAACATGGGGGTACATATATTCTTTCTGATTGGTGTTTCAGGCTTCTTAGGGTATATTCCTAGAAGTGGGATCACTGGGTCAAATGGCAATTCAATTTTTAATTTTTTGAGGTAACACCATAGTGTTTTCCATAGTGGCTGCACCAGTCTGCATCCCCACCAGCAGTGTACTAGAGTCCCCTTTTCTCCACACCCTCGCCAACACTTGTTTGATGATTTATTTGTGGCGACCATTCTGACAGGTATGAGGTGATACCTCACTGTTGTTTTAATTTGCATCTCTCTGATGATTAGTGATGTTGAGCATTTCTTCATATGTCTCTTGACCATTTGTATGTCCTGTTTGGAGAGGTGTCTATTTAGTTCCTCTGCCCATTTTTTAATTGGGTTCTTTGTCTTCCTTTTGTGGAGTTGTATGAGCACTCTACATATTTTGGAAATTAACTCCTTATCCCATACAGTGGGTTCCCTTTCCATTTTGATAGTTGTTTCTTTTGCTGTGCAGAAGCTTTTTAGTTTGATGTAGTCCCATGTGTGCATTTTTTCCTTTGTTTCTGTTGCCTTAGGTGGTGTATCTGTGAAAATTCTGCTGCATATGACATCTGAAATTTCAAGAATCTTTTCTGATCACAATAGAAACCAATTGCAAGGGGTAAAAAATAGAAAAACACAAATACATGGAGGCTAAATAATTGGGAAAAAAATTTTTTTAATGGAAGTCTTTTCTAGAAAAAAGGTGGATCAAGGACAGCATTAGAAAAGAAAAGTGGAAGTTCATTGAAGGAAAGTAAGAGTTCTGGTGACAATGGTTTCTCATTGGCTGAGCTGCCCTTTTTCCATTGGCTGGGCTTGTTGCTGGGCTGGAAGAAAATCTTGTCTTTCTGTTGGAGATGCAAGGTCGTCTCTTCTAAAGACAGTCTGGACTCTAATTGTAGTTGAAATTTCCTTTATTAGTTTTCACAGTTCATTGCTTTCAACTGATTCATGACCTAAAAAAGCTTTAACTGTGAGGGTTAAGAATCCTTGACCTATTCTCTGAGAGGAAAAAGTTCATGTGAGCATCTAGCACTGACCCTGGGGGTGTCAGCCAAAATTCTAGTGTTCACCAGTGCAGAACTATGGGACTGCAAATACATTAGCAACTCTTTGTAAGGAAAGAACGTACACACGGGGAACCAAGGAACTCTAAGAGCATTTTAGCTTACAGTTCAGCTTATTTCGTATAGCAGCTGAGGTTTCCATGTCTCCCATCAACGAGGACCTTGAGCCTGCTGGCAGGTTTGTTGTGAGTACCTGTATACATATGAGGGTTGGGGGCAGAAATGGTTCACCTTGTTTTTCATCAAAAGGTATTATGTGAGCTTCCAGTGAATTTCCATCACTTCTAGCCATAATTTTCCAGCTATTTTCATCATCCATTGGTTCTTTTCGTCCAGCCGCTCTGACGAACGAAGGCAAAACCGAAACACGGAAGGAGAGAGCAAAAGCAAAGGAAGCTACAAAGGGGACCTAGCGCCCGGTCTTTTGTTCTGCGGTCCCTTTAAGAGAAGAACCTCTTGGGACCGGCAGTCCCAACCGACCCCAGTTTTAACCGAAACCTAACCAGGACTTCCCCCTCTTGACTCAAATAAGACCAACTTTGGATTTTCCCTCCCCTGTTGACCAATCAGATTCTGTTACCAGGCAGACTTGAGCTGCAGCCGGTGCGGACCTGGCGCCTTCTGTCTCCGGGTGGCAGCAACGACCAATGAGAGAGCAGGCCGTCCGAGTATCTAGGCAGATCGGGGCTGTTCCAGCCATTCAGAAAAAAGAAAATAAAGCAACGCACGAGCCCGCCGGGCCAGGACCGTGGGGCTGGGCTGGAGTGAAGGTGGCTACGAGGTAGTTTCTCTTTCTCCCTTACCTTTATTGTTGCTTGTGTGGGAAAGCGGCTGTTCAAAGGTGGGAGGGGGCAATATCAGTTGGGAGGAGAGGAGAAAAAGATTTTAGCTGTATTTTCAACAGCTTCTTCACCCATGTGCACGTGCTCCGAATCTGGGACCTCATTTTCCCAACCGGGTTTCCTACGCCCAGCCCAGGAGTTCCGCAACCCTAAACCCCCTACTTTGCAGCAACCCGGGATTGAATGGAGGGGGAAGGGCAGTGGGTGGGGGCGCGCTTCGGGATGGGATGTTGAGGGAGATGACGTAGGGGCCTGCGACCTGGAGGGGAGCGGCAGTCGAAGCGGAGGCAAGATTAAGTAATGAGAACTTGGGCCCAGTTTTTTCCAAACCTAGAAGGGCAGAATATGACCGTATCCTTTCTGACCTCCCAGAGAAATTCAACGGTGAGGCGTACATTCGAGAATTAGATAACTTTGTTTTGTGGTGGTGGTTGTTTTTGAAGGAGAAGAGGGCAGTATGAGGTCAGAGTCAGAAATGAACATTTATTTCTTATGTGGATTCCCAATCCCCTTAGCTCTTCCTTTTTAGTTTTCTACATATAGGAGACTGCAGGAAGGTGGGGCAAATAGAATGGAGATGGCAAAGATCTTTTGAGGTATATAATTGGGCCTGGAGAAGTAATGGAATATTTTCTAATTTTTGGAGAAGGCAAGTGGTGAGAAAAAGACCACTAGAGAAATTCGGAGGCTTGCTTTCTGTTTCTCTTTCTGGGTAGAGAGATGAGGAGTGCCTTGGGATCTCCCAGGAAGGGCAGTAAAATCTTCATGTCCTGTCTCCTGTCAGCTCAAGCCTTCATGCCAGGATGGCAGAAGATGAACCTGATGCTAAGAGCCCAAAGACTGCAGGAAGGGCCCCGTCAGGTAGTGCTGAGGCAGGGGAACCTACCACCCTTCTTCAGAGGCTCCGGGGTACCATTTCGTAAGTACTCATCCCCTCCTCCAAACCTTGTTCCAGACCCAGGTATAATAATCCCTATAGCACCTCACTTCCTCTGTAGATGAACTGCCTCTCCCCAAGCAAGTGCATCTGACCAGGGGGAGATTGTTCACATGGTAGCAGTTGTTGAGCACCTGCCAGACATTTAAGTCCTCTTCCTCTCCCTAGCAATCAGACACAGAATGGGGAAAAATCTTGTGTCTGACCTCCAGCTTTCTCCTCTTCTCCACAGTAAGGCCGTGCAGAACAAAGTAGAGGGAATCTTGGTAAGTGTTTTGGGGAGAGGGCAATAGAGAAATTGAATTAGTGGGGGATGAGGATGGTGAGGACATGAGTAAGTGAAAAGTTTTTGTGGGAGAGGCAGTGATACCTATCCTGTGAGAAGATAATTGACTTTGCAACTTACTGCCAGTTTGACCTTGAGCATCTTACTTCATCTCTGTATGACCAAAGCCAATACAATAGAAATAAAATCAGAGCTGATCCTCTCTGCTTCCTCTGTCACCATGGTGGTTCATAAGGGCTCCTCCGAGCACAGTAAGCACCCAGCCTCACATCATTCTAAGGTCTTTTTTCAGTCTGACGGTCTCTAAGTCAGCTAGACTTTTTGGTAAGGATCAGAGGGTTCTACCTTCTACCATGGGTCATTCTTAGCCTCATTGTTTCTCTTGACTCTGTTCTTCCTTACTTCAGCAAGATGTACAGAAATTTTCAGACAATGACAAGCTGTATCTCTACCTTCAGCTCCCCTCAGGGCCCAGTACTGGAGACAAAAGGTATGTTTGATGCTAGACTTTTAGATGTCAGAGGTTCTGATTCTTAAAGGTTCCCTGGGAAAGGGTGGGATGGATAGGAGTACTCATGAGGGCTGTCCTTGATCAAGAAGAAAAGTCCCTGCCTGGCCAATGTGGCTCAGTGGTTGAGCATCAGCCCATGCACCAAGAGGTTGCCGGTTCGATTCCTAGTCAGGGCACATGCCCAGGTTGTGAGCCAAATCCCTAGTAGGGGGCATGCAGGAGGCAGCCAGTCGTTCTCTCTCATCGATGTTTCTATCTCTCTCTCCCTTCCTCTCTCTCTAAAAGCAATAAAGAAAAAAAAATTTTTTTTTTTTTTTAAAGAAGAAGAAAAGTCCCTGTCCTGCATTGGTTTACCAGAGAAAGGTAGATTCTGAGTGAAGTGATTTGGTCCAGCACTACTGAAGTGGTAGTCTGGATAGAACCAGGACAACTGTTGAGAATTTACTAGTGGTTTTCTTTTTTACTCTTTTGCAGCTCAGAGCCAAGTACACTCAGCAATGAGGAGTACATGTATGCCTATAGGTGGATCCGCAACCACCTAGAAGAACATACTGACACCTGTCTGCCAAAGCAAAGCGTTTATGATGCCTATCGGTGGGTAGATGTGGGGAGTGGAAGGGTAGGTTGCCTCTGGAGAATTCCCTGCCTTGACAGAGTCTGACTTCTTAAAAAGCTTTCCCAAACTTGATCCCCGGGGACTCTCTGAACCCACCCATGACCTCCTTCTCTGAGTATCTTCCAACTCTGCCCCCCCTCCCCCCACTCAGGAAGTACTGTGAGAGCCTCGCTTGTTGCCGCCCACTCAGCACAGCCAACTTTGGCAAAATCATCAGAGAGATCTTCCCTGACATCAAGGCCCGAAGGCTTGGTGGCCGGGGTCAGTCCAAGTATCCTTGAGTGGAGAGGTTGGGGCTGGAGGACCTGGGGAGGAAAATTTATGGATGTGGAGAGCCAGGAATAGAAACAGCCCAACCTTCCTCAGGGTTTGGAGAGCCCCATGTGTTGGTTTCTCCTTAACTTACATCAGATATTGCTACAGTGGCATACGAAGAAAGACTTTGGTATCTATGCCACCCTTGCCTGGCCTTGACCTAAAGGGCTCTGAGAGTGTAAGTAGCAAACAACGCTCTGATTGCACTCTTCTCTCCAAGGTGGAAGTCTTTGGGACATGGTTTGAGGACTGACACAGCCTAGGTGATTCTGCACATAGCTTCTGGGTATATAGGATATGCCCTTCTGCCCACCCTATGGCTGAGGCAGAGGATGAAGAGCATATGTGGGTTTCTGGGAAGGGATGGTACAGGCTACTCCCATTTCCTGTTTGGTCTTACTATGGTCAACGTGGATGCTCAAGAGGGGTTAAGGGTCCTTTAGTTTGAAGTATTATGAGGCATGTCCTTCCTCACTGCAGCCAGATATGGGCCCAGAAGTAACCCCAGCACCTCGGGATGAACTGGTTGAGGCAGCCTGTGCCCTGACCTGTGACTGGGCAGAGCGAATCTTGAAACGGTCCTTCAGCTCCATCGTTGAGGTCGCCCGCTTCCTGCTACAGCATCATCTCATCTCTGCCCGCTCTGCACATGCCCATGTGCTTAAGGCCATGGGGCTTGCTGGTGGGTGGACTCTGTTTTGTGTTCTGAGAAACCCTCAGCCACTCTCATCTTCAAAATTCCTCCCACATACTAGGATAGAGATACCTTGAATTTGCCTTCTATTCCTAGAGACCCTTCTATGACATACCTTAGACTACCTTCTTTCCACTGTCTCCACCAGTTAGTCAGAATTGCCACACTCCTCCATTCTGTTTCCTCCTCACCTTATTACCTTTTCTGGCACTTCTGCAGAAGAGGATGAACATGCCCCTCGGGAAAGGACATCTAAATCTAAGAATGGTGTAGAGAACCCAGAGGATGGAGCCCATAAGAAACCAGAGAGACCGACCCAGGTAGGAAGTTGATGCCGTTAACCTTGCTGCCCTGGCCTTTGGGCTTAATATACCCTTCCCCCATGGGTCCCATACTTTTTCACCTCCTGTGCCCATGTTTCCTCCGGTGTCCAGTCTTTCCATTTACTGTATTCCTCTCTTTACTTCTTAGCCTCCTCAGGAACTGGAACCCCGAGCTGGGGCTGGTCCCCCAGTACGCGGAGAGCGGAAGAAGAGTGTAGTAGAGAGTCCAGTCCCAGCAGCCAATAACCCACAGGTTAATGCCCTGGTGGCCCGGCTGCCTCTGCTCCTCCCCCGGGCCCCTCATTCGCTTATTCAGCAAATCTCCGTCTCTCCATCCATCGTGGCCCCCAAGCTTTCTTCAGGCACTCTGAAATTGACTGCACTACCTGTGTCCAATAGGGTTAGGGGATCCCAGGCAGCTGTGCCCATCATTAATATGATCTTACCAACTGTTCCCGCTTTGCCTGGACCTGGACCTGGACCTGGACCTGGGCATGCTCCACCTGGGGGGCTTACTCAGCCACTGGGCACAGAGAATAGGGAGGTATACATAGGTGGTGACCCAAGACCTCATGACAAGGGTATCAAGAGGACAGCTGAAGTAACTGTGAGTGAGGCCAATGGACAGGACCCACCAGCAAAAGCAGCAAAGCAGGATATAGAGGATACAGGGAGTGATGCCAAAAGAAAACGGGGGCGCCCTCGAAAAAAATCAGGTGGAAGTAGGGAAAGGAATTCTGCCCCTGAGAAGTCATCAGCTGCCATGGACTCTGCCCATTCATCAAGGTTATCACAGGAGACGTGGGCCCCTGGAAGCAACTCAGCTGGAGGGTCAGAGAAGCCAGGGCCAGTGGGAGAGGCTGAGAAGGGGTTGGTGCTTGCCCAAAGTCAGGAAGATGGTGCTATATCTAAAGGAGGAAGGGGCCCCAGTTCCCGCCATGCCAAAGGAGAAGATAAAATTCCTCTTGTCACCCCGAAAGTGAGTGTCATCAAGGGCAGTAGAAGCCAAAAGGAGGCTCTTTATTTGGAAAAGGGAGAGGTAGGCACTGTAGCACAGGGTAATAAAGATTTAAAGGGGCATATACTTCAAAGTTCCTCATCCCATGAGCAGAAAGACCCCAAAGCAACACCCCCCTGATAGGTATGCAGAGAAGAGTGTTTATATCCAGATGTGAACTCTTACCTGTCTGCCTCGTAGAGCCCTTCTCACTTGCTTCTCCTCTGGCTCTTTTTTTTCTAAAGGGAATTCATGCTCTTCTGTGTAGACAGCTCAATACCCTTGGCTTTAGAGTCACTAACAAATCTGTAGTGACCTTACCTGGATCCTGTGGGAAGTTAGGATTGGACTGATAGGATGAACATATAGGTTAGGAATCTTTTTGGTTTCAAGTCATAGAAAACCTAACTCATACTGGCTTAAAAATAAAGATTATTGGTTCATGTAACTGTAAAGCCCAGAGGTAGTGCTGGCTCCAGGTAAAGCTGATCCAGTGGCTCAGTAAGTCTAAATACCTGATTGACTCCCCTTCCCCTCCCCAACCTCTCTGTTCTACCTTCTGTAGGATCATAGGAACCCCGGGCCGCCAGCACTCCTAGAATTACAATGTTTCCTCATTTATATCCAACCAGAAACAGGGCATCTTTGTGCCAGGAATACTAGCAAGAACCTTGATCCTTCTGATTAGGCCAGCTTGTGTCACATGTCCACCCCTAACCAATCCCTGTGGCCAGAGGGATGGTATATGCTAATTTGCTTATCTACATCAGGGACTGCATCTATGGAATAAGGGTGGGATTAGCCTTCTTAGAAAGTGGGAGGGGGAAGTTCCTGGGGAGGCAGTTGACACCTGGCCACTACTATTAAGTACACGTTTTAGCTTGCTAGGTTGAGATCCGCTGTACCTGCTTTTTCCCTCATAATCTTGCATTTTTCTTACTGCAGCTGTAACCTCTTCTTATTCTGGTCTCAGAAGGAATGAGAGGGAAGTCACTTTCTTTTAGGGACTATTTTTTAGTCTCGTTTAGATGACAATCCCTATTTGTTTTTTTCACCTACAGCTCAGAAATGGAGTTCCTTCCTTTTCCTGTTTGTAAACTTTAGTTTCTCGTTTCTGCTTCCCTGTCTCCCACCCTACTGCCACTATCACTAGAGAGTGATATTCACTTCTGGTCATTTTATTAAATTCACTCTGTATCCACCAGGTGTCAGCCTCTTATCATACATGTGTCAGGACTAGTCAGGATTGTGGGGTTTAGCCTAGCTGTATGAAAGGAGGTAGCTCTGTGTATCAGGGAGCACCAATAGGAAGGGAATCCAGACCCTGCAGGTTGGTCGTTGGGAAATGCTGTAAACTCACCAATATTTATCAAGGACCTAACTTTGTCTTCTGCATAGGGTAGCTTCTGTCAGGGAATCTTGGCTCTTCCCAAGAAATACAGATGTTCTTTCAGGGAGATTTCATTTGTTCATTTATTTCCACTGCAGCAGATTTTTAGAAATTATAATATGTAATATTTGATATCTATAAAAATATATTTAACATGAATAAATTATGAAGCATAATAATTAAATTACTACCTATGACCCATCACCCAACTTATACATTAAAACATTGGAAATATCATTGTCTTTCTTGTGCTTCTCCCCAGTACTATCCCCTGCCTCTCCCTAGAGATAACTACTGTCCTTAATTTTGTGTTTATTAATTACCTACTATTATATATACATATATATGTATATGTCCTTTTATAATGTGTTGTTCAGTCTTGCTTTCAGCTTTATGAAAATTTTATACTTTAATAGTACCCTTTAGTTTGCTTTTTTCACTTAACATTATTACTAAGGTTCATCCATATTGTAGATATCTGTGACTCATTCATCTGCATAAGTACATAAACAACAAGTCATTTATCCATTCACCTATCAATGGACTTTGGGTTATTTCCAATTACAAACAATGCTGCTATGAACATTCTTGTACATGTTAGTGCCTTTGTTTTTAGCAAGATTTCTAAAAAACTTTCTAAAATGGTTCTTTTGGTCTATATACCCTGAGTTGGGGACTGTTTCTTTCTGTCTTATTCTCTGGAAGAGTTTATATCAGATTGAAACGAACTGTCCCCTGAAAGTTTGGTAAAGCTCATTTGTTAAGCCATTTGAACTTGGCGTTTCTTTGTGAGAAAATTTTTAACTATTGATTCAATCTCTTTAATAATTATAGGCTGTTTGGACTTCCTATTTCTTCTTGAGTAAATTTAGGTAAAGTGTTTCTCTGAAATTTTGTGAATTTTAGGTCTTTTTTTTTAATGAAATTTCCTGTCTTTTATTTCTACTACTGTGCTTTCTTTTCTTTTGATCAATTGCACCAGAAATTTTGTTATTTTCTGTCTTCAGTTACTACTTTGGGCTTTGCTGATCCTCTCCCTTTTGTATTTGTTTTCCATTTCACTGATTATGGATCTTATCTATAGTATTTCCTTTCTTCGGGTTTCTTTAGATTTAATTTTATGTTCTTTTATAATATCTTAATTTTGACACTTATCTAATTGATTTTCAAGCGTTTTTTTTCTAGTATAAGTTTTTAAGGACGTGTTTCTCTACCTTCCTCAAGTTTTTCTGTTGTAAAGATTTTTTTTCTGTTGTAAAGTATTGTAATTATTATTTAGTTCTAAGAATATTTAAATTACCTTTATGACTTTTTTGAGTCATGAATTATTTCAAAAAGTTGTATAATTCCCATGTCTAGGTATTTTTAAATTTATCTTTTTGAGAATTTCAGCTTAATATATGCTGAGAATGTGGTCACTGTGATACCAGTTCTTTGAAATTTGTTGGGATTGTTATTTTATATTCTGTAACTTATCTTGGATGTCTAAATCTGTTGTTGTTTTACCTGTGGTAGCTTGTTTCCTTATATATTTTATATTTTGGGGTTTCGAGCTCATATTTTGTTAATCTGTAGGAATCCAGAGGGCCTAAACTGTGAGTACCTTCCTCCAGAGAGGATTTGTGTTTGCTTCTGCCAGAAGCCAAAGAGTGCTTTTGACCTGGGACTCTGTTAGCCCCTTAAAGAGTCCCAGTTAGATTCAGGAGTGCCGGGTTTTTTCCTGTTCCGTGGCTAGGTCCAAGGTTTAGCTTCTGTTCACAATACTGGTTTTGGCATTTGTCCTGCGGCAAACATGCTTTTCCTACTGCAGGTTGATCATCCCTCATACAGATTTCAGCTTAATGTTATTTTTTCTGCTTTTTGAGATTTGCCTTTCTAACAAGCTCAGCAATGTACTAAATATCATGCTTGCTGTCATTTGTCCAGGATCTAGTTGTATTTTAATGGGAAAGCCCTTTCTCTTATCCATGTTGCCAGAAGTAGGAGTCAATTACTGTGTGTTTTAGATTTTTCTTCTTTTTTTTTAAGTGCTTGGTATTTGCATTTGTTAGAAGCTAGTTGACTTAGGCTTAGTCTTCAAGTCAGTAATGATCACAGCACAGTGTGAGTTACACAGCCCTAGCCAGTTATTCTGTGGTTAGAGCTTCAGTCTGGGGACCCAAGGGTTCGATTCCAGTCAAGAGCATGTACCTGGGTTGCAGGTTGGTCAGGGTCATGAGGGAGGCAGTCATTCAATGTGTCTCTCTCACATGGATGTTTCTCTCTCTTCCTCCTTCCTTTCCACTCTTATCCAAAAATCAATGGAAAAATCTCCTTGGGTGAGGATAAAAAAAAGAAAGAGTAAGCAGAGAACTGTGGGAGCCCAAAAGAATAGCACACAGCTCAGACAGGGATCAGGAATGACTTCCCAGTAGAGGTGAGTAGGAATTTAGCTAGACAAGTCTAACTCATAAGGCAAGAACAGAACAAATAAGACAAGGTAAAAAGAGCTAAATCATGACACCCACTTTACTACATAAGAGTTGAATATAAATTTAGATCACTTAGGGCTGAGTAATTTGGGAAAGCTACATGGAAAAGGTAGGTTTGAATTAAGCCTTTAAGGTAAGTAGACCTTAGATAAGTGAAAAAGAAGAGGGCATTCTAGGAAAAGTAGGGGTTTGGGGGTATGGGCATGGCAGTATAACTCAGTAAAGAGACCTGTCAGGCAAAATGGATGTGTATGAACAACAGTGAGAAATAAACTGGAAGAAGAATACACAACCATTATAGTTACCTGTTGACTGAATGAATGTATAGGAAGCATAAAGTTTGCATTCGAAGATGGGGGAACTGGAGTCAAAAGGAACTAGCCAGGCATCTGTTGCCTTTATCAATGTGGGAGAAGATGAGTGACTGGACAAGGTTGCTGACACATTAGAGGTAATAGACATATGGAAAAATAAACCACTGATGATAGGATAGATAGAAGCATCCAGGAAATATTCTTACCATGATTGGTTTAGGGGATGTATCCATTTACTTTGGGAGACCCAGCCACTGGATGATTTTGAGATTTACATGAATGTTATAAGGTTTTTAAGTAGTCTATTTTTAAAACTTACTCTATTTTTAAAATCTAACATGAAACGTTATTCTGTAGTTAATCTTTAGTTCATTATATGAAGGGCTAAACTAAGATTTTGGGGAATGTCTACTGCTCCCTCTCTACCATTCCTTATTCTCTCCCCAATACCCTGTTCCCATTCCCATTACCTTACATACACATACCCGTGTCATCTTCTTTCATTTTAGCCCTACCATAAATGAAGTTAAAGATAACTTATAATTTACTAAAATTTGAAATAATATTTTGCTATTAAACCAACACAAACTCACTCTATATATTCTGTGGCCCAAAATAAATGAATTTATTGCCCATTTTTGTGGGTAACAACTTTCATTAGAAATCAAAGCAAATGCCACATTCACTGACATACCAAACCGAGGAATTAATATCATTATGTATTTGTCTAGGTGTTTTGTTCCATGTTATGTTTCCTTTTTTTTTTTTTTGATATGTGCCCCTAGCGGGAACCGAACCCAAGACTCTCTGGTCTGCAGGCCGACGCTCCAACCCCTGAGCCAAACCAGCCAGGGCTCATGTTATGTTTCCTTCATAGGTCTACTTCTTTGTCTAGGATCATCCTGTTGGCTCCATCCTGTAAGATAAAACTAAGCATAACATAACTAATAAAGCAATATCTATGAAATGTTCATGAGGAAACTTCTTTTTACTGGAAAGAACGTGAATTCAGTTCAAATCTTAGCTTTACCTATTTCCATATGATTTTGAACATTTATTTAGTCCAGTTTTTTCAAACTGTAGATTATATCCTATTAGTGGGTTGTGAAGCTGATTTAGTAATTACTGATGCAAAACTTTTTAAAAAGTGAAATAAAATAGAAAATATCAGAATGTATTACATAGAGTAAGAGTTAAGTATTGTTTCATGAAACATCTCAGTGAAGACATGTCTATGTGTTCTTCATTGGTCATGATATAAAATGCATTTCTTACTGTGGGTTGAAGTAAAACAATTTTGAAAAACAATAACAACCATTTCAAGCTCAGTTTCCATAAAATAGGATAAAATATTTTTCATAGGGCTTTAATGAGGAATAAATGAGGTAATGTTTGTATTCTTACACAGTAGAGGCTTGAGTAATAACTGTTAGCTTCTTTTCTTTAAAAATAAAAAGCCCAAAATACCATGGTTTGGGGGGATCACTATAATTTCTTTAACTACAGAAGTGTTTATAATATAACTAGAGCTGCCCAGCTGGTGTGGCTCAGTGGTTGAGTGTTGACCTGTGCACCAAGAGGTCGCCAGTTTGATTCTTGGTCAGGGCACATGCCCAGGTTGTGGGCCTAATCCCCAGTGGGGGGCATGCAGGAGGCTGCCAATTGATGTTCTCTCATCAATGTTTCTCACTCTCTCCCTCTCCCTTCTTTTCTCTCTAAGATCAATAAAGGAAAAAAATAAATAAAATATAACTAGAGCTATATTATGACCTGAGTCCCAGTTTTACCAATTCTTGATAAGTAAGCCAACTTCTTTCTCTAATTTGATGAAATTTAAGTAATATAAATGATATTACCTGACCCTGTTGCTACTTTCCTGGTGCAATGCCAACAAAATTAACTTTTTTAAAATATGTATTTTATTGATTTTTTTTAGAGAGAGAGGAAGGGAGGGGGAGAGAGAAACATCGATCTGCTGCCTCTTGCACAGCTCCTACTGGGGACCAAGCTTGCAACCCAGGCATGTGCCCTGTCAGAAAATCAAAGCGGGACCTCTCAATGGGACGTTGCTCAATCCACTGAACCATACCAGCCAGACCAAAATTAACATTTTTTCCTGTGGCAGAAACTAAGGATATAGCTGGAAATACAAAAATGAATCCTTTTCTGCCTTGCGGAGACTAAGGGATTTGGAAACTCATAGAAATAGAGGGTAAACAAAATAAACAAACAAAAACCCTTTAGAAGTGAGAAAGACAAAGTCATAAAAAGATGCAAAGAAGTATACATATATGAGAGCCCTCAGAATTATAAACACAGAAAACTTGAAACAAACTTCTACTTAATACTTTGGGGGGGGGGGGCCGGTCTCCATTAATGATTTATTACTACCTGTAGCTATAAAAGTTCCTAAAATTTGAACAGAGATGTTCCCGAAATGTTTTTTGTTATGAGAAAATAAAAAAGCTTACAACTATAAAAAACAGAGCTGTCACATCTCTCTTTATAATATTTCACAGAGGTGATCTTATGGCCCTTTGGAACCCTACCCCTGGAGGGAATGAATGTGTGACACTTTAAACTAGGCAAAAGCAGGGCCATCACGTTTTGATATTTGCCTGACAGCTAACTGGGAGCTAGCCAAGAGCTGCTAGGCCTGACAGGTGCTCTAGTGATTCCCCACTCCAGACCAGTGTCGATAAATTTAAACTATCTTTGGTACTCTCAGTCTCTTTCTCAGCTCATCTTGTTACTGTACTCCTGCTTTAATGTAGTTTATCAGCTTGCCCTCTCATAATTTGAGCAAATTCCCGTTTCTATTCTTCAGCATACAATTTTTTTGGCCTTCAGAATGCTTTTTTTTTTTTTTTTTTTTTAAGATTTTTTTTCCTTTATTGATTTTTAGAGAGGAAGGGAGAGGGAGAGAGAGATAGAAACATCCATGAGAGAGAAAATAGATTGGCCTCCTCCTGCATGCCCCCCACTGGGGATCAGGCCGACAACTGGGGCATGTGCTCTGACCTGGAGTCGAACTGGCGACCTCTTGGTGAATGGGTCATGCTCAACCTCTGAGCCACACCGGCAGGGCAATGTTCCTCTCTTTTTTGTTCTGCTGAATCATATCCAATAAATCTTATAAGACATAGCTTAACAATATTTTGAAGCCATCCATTAATTCACCGTATACCGAGTAGTTAGGCCTTCCCTGTTAGCCATACTCCCCTATGTTCCTTCAGCAATTAGGTACCCTATTTCTTCAACTTTTGTACATATTGCATGTTTCACATAGGTATTTTCAAGCTATTACCTTTATTCTGCCTTCCAATTAAACACCAAAGCAGTGACCCTCTTTTCTTTCATCATCTACCCTATGTTATGGTCACAATAATAGTAATATATACATAGTAGCAATCTGTATTCTTTTAATCCTCACAAAACCCCATAAAGTGTTAGTATTCCTGGATCCACTTTGCAGATATAGAAACCTGGGTTCAAAGAGATTAAAACAGTCATCCCAAATCAAACAGCCTATAATTGGCAGGAAAGGTGGTATCCAAGATCTGGGCTCAAATAACTAGCCTCAATATCAAAATAAATAAGGCCCTATGAGGATTGGGGCAGGCTCTGATCGAGAGAGCTCCCAATCAATAAAAATGCTGTCAGATACACAAAACCAACAGAGGTCCATTTGTAGGGTGGGTTTTTGTTTATTCGTTTAGTTTTACATGATTTTGTTCTGTTTTGAAGGAAGGGTTGTGCCCTCCAAGCCTGTGTCATTTCACTCACCTCTCCCAAACTGACCCTGTCCAGCCCCTCCCTAGAGAGGTCGACGTGCAGAGGCTGGAGGCCAAAGGCTACCCAGGCAAGTGGTGACTTCCGAGGCAGAACCGCGGCCTCGAGATGCGACGCTATCGGCAAAAGATTGACGCGGTAGTATAGATTCCCGAAGCGAAAAGGGGCGTAATCTGGGCATCGTCCTTTAAAATGAATAGGAAAAGGGTACTGAGGGTGACGATCTTACCCCCCTACCCTCTCTCTTTCTCCTCTCCTCACTGGGCCCTAGCGTCCATTGCACGGCCTGATTTACTAAGGGAGACGTGTGGAATAGGGGAGGGGGTAAGGTCACTGACTGCAACTACGAGAACTCTCTTAACTCAAGCGGACTTATTTACATATAATTTGCATGTACTTATGGAAGTACGCAATATGTCTGTGCGTCTCCTCTTACAGGGTACCCACGCCCGCCTGCCACTCTCTGCTGTGGGCCGGGAGCCCCTGCCCTTTTTTCAGGAAAATTTTCTTCCCTTTCGGCTTCCTTAGTCTCTCAAACTCGACCTCTTAGGTCCGCCTCTCAAAGATTGGCCCCTCCTTCCACCCGTAGGCTCCTCCCCTCGACCTCTCCTCCCTCCCCAGCTTCCAAACATCTGTTCCCCGCCCCCTTTTTTATTTCTGAACAGGCATGTTCCAGGCAGCTCACTCGACTCCTTAGGTTACTGTGGGATCCTAGGGTCCTGAGCGTCGGACAAGCAGGAAAGCATATGCTAAGAAAAAGGGCTTGGATTTAAGAAAATCAAGCCCTGCTGGGGATATTTTGGGGGAGGATCTTGGTTGTGCAGAGGGAGGAAGAGGAGGTTGTGTGGCCCGGTCGAACTTCAGGCAGCGCAAAGGCCCCCTCAGGCGGCGCCAAGGGCAGCCCCGCAGCCGGGGCCTGGTGCAGCCGCCGCGGCCGCTGTCAGGGAAGCGCAGGCGGCCAATGGAACTCAGGAGCGGCCGCTGCTGCTGAGGCGGCGGTGTCGGCAGCCCGACTCCGACCGCCCCCACCCCCTCCGCGGGGGTCCCCCGGAGGTAAGCGACTCCTACCCCGCTAGCCCCTCTTGTCCTGTGTTGTGGAGGTCCCCCTCCCACGCTGTCCCACACAGCCTCCCCCCGTCCCCACACCTAGGTTCGACTACAAAACTGCCCTCCCGGTGGCATCTGCACCCGGGTTCCTTCTCCACCCTTTCGATCCAAGCCTGGGGTACTTCTCTGCTTTTTGGCTTCCTCTTCTGTTTAGCTCCTCCCTCTGCCCCGGGGATTCCCCCCTCCCTCCCTCTTATCCCTGCAGCCTTCTTCCCGAATTATTTTGTCTCGTAAGTCGTGAACTCTTTCACATCAGGACGCCTCTTATAAAGCCCCTCCTTGTTTGTATTTCCTCCCGGTATGTTCATCTGCCCCAAATCTTTTTTCCATGGCCTCCGCCTTTATCCTTTTTCGTATGTCACCCCTTTTCACAGATGTCTCTGTGCAACCCTAGCACTGGGTTCCCATTTCCCTGAGCTAAAGATTGTGGCCCTCTTTTTCTCTACTTCTTCAGATTCCATTACCTCACCGCCCACCACGCAGCTCCTGGCTTCCAAGAATTGCCTATTCCCCTGTCCTTAAGGGATCTCATCGTCATTCCTAAAGTATCATTTGCATTATGCTTGAACCTTACTCCTTACCCTTCTCTGGAGTGTTTTATGATCCCTGTAACTTCCTTTAGCTTCCTTTGCCCCTTCCGTAATACTCCAACGTTTGGAGGTTTTTTCCTGTTGAAAAGAGATCTGACAGTACCTCTTCCCATTCAGGATTTCCAATTTCAACACCTTCTTCCTCGAATTTCAAAGACTTTGCTGATCCTTGTGACACTTGGTTCTGTTTTCCCTGTGGTCTTTATGTTTTCTCTGTCCTACTCTTTATCTTCACATACCAACTTATTTCAGGATTAGCCAAACCTTGAACTAAGAAGAAAATGTGTTGGGAGGAGGGGGAGCCTCAGCTGTCTCACTCAGGCTTTTCTGGACACAAGAGTCTTTCTGAAGGATGGAGCAAGTTTTGAAGAAGTCCCTATCAGATTACACTTTGTTGACTACTCAGGATCAGCCACTAGGAGGGATGAAGGACTGCATGGAAACTGAATGAAGTTGTGAGACATTTTTTTTTAATTATATAATTTTAGGCTTGTCTTAAAGGGATCACAGAGCAGAATATCCTCCCACCCCTGCTCAGATCTCAAAGGAATCAGTTTACTGTCTGTGGCTTACTAGAATAGTTTTGGTTGCTTCCAGAACTTAGGGCTGGGGTGAGGTTAGGGGGTAACTGAGAAAAGGAGCACAGGACAATGGAAAGAACTTATGTATTCAAAATCAGAACTTCTGATTTTAACTTGTGACTTCCTCACTTGACCTTTAGAGTGACCTTTTTGGGAAAATGGCCCACTCTATAGGCATCAGTGCAGTAATAGGCTAATAGCAGAATGTGGGTTGGGGGAAAAATTAGACTAGATTTATTTGTTTACAAAACATTCTGGGTTTCTCAGAGAAAAGGTATTTATTAGCAGTGGTTTAATTGTCTGGAGAATTTTCTCTTGGTCTAGTCTACAACCATGGGAGTAAATCAGTTTAAAAAAACAAGCTCCAGGCTTGCTTCTTTCATCTGCCTTGTTTTTCCCCCCCACTGCATTAAGTTGCTATGCTGTTCCTCTTGTACCTTTGATCCATAACTCTAGATTCCATAGATGGAAAGTATATTTGTGGGCAAGACCTTTGAGGAAGCTAGCTGGAAAAGAGAATTGGAGTGAGATGGGACTTAGGAAACTAGTTGCTCCTTTGTATGCCATGTTTCTCTCTTGGCCTGTGATAGCAAAGAGGGCACGTGAAGTTCCATTCATCTTCCCACTCTAGATCTGTTTGAAAATAATCACACTATCTCATCCCACTTTTCCCTTGTCTTTCCTCATTAACCAGAGTGCAGTCTACTCATAACCTCCCTTTTTAGGAGCAGCTTTACTCCTTGGAAGCACTCCCAAAGACAAATCCTATTTCCCTGGTTTCCCTGCTTCCTTCTCAGAGCTGAGTTCACACTGCAAGAGAACATGTTTGCTGAACACCGTCCAAAGTAGCAAATTGAGATTCTTTGATTTGGGGAAGAAGTTTGAGAGGAAGCTTTCAGTAATTGGCATGAGATAAGAGAGGACCTAGTCTAAGCCCACTTGGGGCTTGCAGCAGGATCAGTTCAGAGAGAGGTGAGTGTACAGGTTGCTTGCTTTCTTTGTCATCTGTCTGTTTCAGCAGAGGCTCCCAGAGCCGGCTTGGGCTGTCTTGCTGGATCTGCTTATACTAGCTCCGTGGCACTGCACGGAGAGTTCTCAGCCTGATTCAATATTGACTTAACTATCCTGAGACTACTGCCCTCCCTACCCTCCTGCTAGTAGCTTGAAAATGCCCTCTCTCCTGATGCCAACCCCCCTTGGGGTTTTGGGTAACCATTTACCTGAATTCTAGTAGGGCTTGAGCCTGCTTGACTGCTCAGCCCTGTGTTTCTACAAAGAAAAACTAGTACTCAGTCTCCATCTCTACCATTGAGGTCAAGGAGGAAGATGAACTGAGACCTCCTTATAGCAAGATTTGAGTTAGACCTTAAGACATGAGAAGGAACTTCTTAACAGCAGAACAGGTAGCCTAGAGTGATGTGGAATCTCTTTTGAGAGCAACTTTTAAAAATCATTATTAAAGGTATATGTGGCCCAGGCCGGTTTTGCTCAGTGGTTAGAGTGTCAGCCCACGGACCAGACAGTCCCGGGTTCGGTTCCTGCTAAGAGCCTGTACCTCGGTTGCAGTTTGTCCCCGGCCCCAGATGGGGTTGTGTGGGTGGCAACCACTCAATGTGTCTCTCTCACATCGATGTTTCTCTCTCTTCCTCTCTCTCTCTCTCCGGTTCTATATGATGATGATAAATGCAAAATGTCCTTGGGTGAGGGTAAAAAATTTTTTTAAAAAGGTATATGTGCCCTGGCCAGTTTGGCTCAGCGGTTAGAGCGTCGGCCTGCGGTCCGGAGAGACCCGGGTTCGGTTCCTGCTAAGGGCACGTACTTCGGTTGCAGTTTGTCCCCGGCCCTGGTTGGTCGTGCGGGTGGCAGCCACTCGATGTGTCCCTTCACGTCGATGTTTCTCTCTCTCTCTCCCTCCCACTCTATCTGTACAAAAAATGGAAAAATATCCTCGGGTGAGGATAAAAAAAAAAGGTATATGTGCACTTGGTAACAAATCCAATGATATATGAGAGTTTATGGTGAAATTCAACAGTCCCTTTCCATTCATCCCTACTCCTACTCCTTTAGAGTTAACCTCTTAATTAACTCAGTGTTTACTTCTGAAGGTTATCACCAGAGCTTTATTAGACAAAATGCCTATGCCTATTTCTTTTTTCTTTTTTTTCTTTTTATACAGATAGAGTGGGAGGGAGAGAGGAAGGAAGAGAGAGAGAGAAACATCAATGTGAGAGAGAGACATCGAGTGGTTGTCACCCACATGACCCCAACCAGGGCTGGGGACAAACTGAAACCCAGGTACGTGCCCTTAGTGGAAACCGAACCCTGGACTCTCTGGTCCACGGGCTGATGCTCTAACTGCTGAGCCAAACCAGCCAGGGCCTTATGTTTCTATTCCTTGATTTATTGTTACAAAGAGGATTTAGCTCTAGAGGATTTATACCTCTTGTCTATATGATTATGTCATTTTCATGTAAGGAAATGATTATGTCATTTTTATTTTATTATTAAGGAAACTTTAAATAACATATTTGAACCTCCCTTTTATAATAACTTTTTCTATTTATTAATAACTTTTTATTTTGATATAGTTGCAAGACTATTACAGGAAACATTCATATATTCCTTTTTTTTTTTTTTGCTTTTTAATTAAGGTTAGATTTTCTTTTCTTTTTAAATTTATTTAATTAATTTATTTTTGTTATTAATCGTCACCTGAGGATATTTTTCCATTGATTTTTTTTTAATCAGACATAAAATTCCATGTTTATTTATTAATTTTAGAGAGAGAGGAAGGAAGAGGGAGAAAGAGAGAGAAACATTGATGAGAGAGAACATCAATTGGCCCCATCCTGCATGCCCCCCACTGGGAATCGGGCCCACAGCCTGGGCATTTGTCCTAACTGGGAATCAAACTGGCGACCTCTTGGTGCATGAGTCAGTGCTCAACCACTGAGCTACACCGGCTGGACTTTCCATTGATTTTTAGATAGAGTAGAAGGGAGAGAGGGAGGGAGAGAGAAACATCGATGTGGGAGACCCATTGATTGGTTGCCTTTTGCACTACCCCAACTAGGGCCAGGGATCAAATCTGAAACCCAGGTACATGAGTTTGACTGAGAATCGAACCCATGACCCTTTGGTCTGCTGGCAGACACTCTAACCGCTGAGCCAAACCAGGTAGGGCTTTTTTTTTTTTTCATTTATCTTCGAATAGAGCGGGAGGGAGAGAGGGAGGAAGAGAGAGAGAGAAACATGGACGTGAGAGAGACACATCGACTGGTTGCCACCCACACAACCTCAACCGGGGCTGGGGACAAATTGCAACCGAGGTACGTGCCCTTAGTGGGAACTGAACTTGGGCCTCTCTAGTCTGTGGGCTGACACTCTTAACTGCTGAGCCAAACCGGCCAGGGCTATTTTTTTTTATTTTTTTAATTTATCTTTATTGTTGAAAGTATTACAGATGTCCCCCTTTGTTTCCCCAGTAACCCTCTCCACTCCACTCCCACCCCCCATAAGTTCTTTGGTTCTCTTCCCATTCCCTCTCCCCTCACATTCATCAGTCTGTTCCATGCTTCCGCGTCTCTGGATCTATTTTGTTCATCAGTTTATTTTGTTCATTAGATTCCACCTATAAGTGAGATCATGTGATACTGATTTCTCTGATTGGCTTATTTTGCTTAGCATAATACTCTGCAGGTCCCTCCATGTTACCTTAAAGGGTAAGAGATCTTTCTTACAGATGCATAGTATTCCATTGTGTAAATGTACCATG